AATGGAATTCCGAAATATTTTTCATTTAAACAATAGAACATTAGTTTTTTGTTGAGGCATGCCATATGGTTGGATTATAATTTTGATATGAATCTGATTTCAATTTCATACATTTCTGTGCATCTGTCTGTAATTGAACTTATGTATATTAACATGATAGTGTTTATTCACATCAGAGCGGGGGTATTCCTAGTGAGCATTGAGCATTTGGCTCACAGATTTCTTCATTGGTATGCATACTCCACTAATCAAGCTCTTTCACACGACACCAAGGTCATTGACTTTTCGACCTTGACTGTGACCTACATGCTAAAAATAGTATTTCCAAACTTTTGCCAAATGTTACTTTTGAACCATTCAAGATAAAGTCTTCATATTCAGTATGCCTAATCCACTACTTAAGTTCTTTCAAATGACATCAAGGTCATGCCCTTGTGACCTTGACTGTGACCTATATGCTAAAAATAGCTTTGGTGCAGCCGGGCGCATAGTGTTTCACAAGCTTATCTTGTTAAACAATCTTCTTCTCAAGAACCACTGGGCCAGGAAAGATGAAACACAATTGGAATCATCCTCAGGTATTGTAGATTTAAGTTTAAAGTTTTACATAGGAATATATAGGGAAATCTTTAAAAATCTTCTTCTCAAGAACCTTTGCGACACGAAAGATGAAACTCATGTTGAATCATCCTCAGGTAATGTACATTCAAGTTTGTTCAAATCATGACCCCTGGGGGTAGGGTGGGGCCACAATTGCCAATCAAAGTTTTACATAAGAATATATAGGGAAATCTTTCTAAAAAATTCTTCTCAAGTACTACAATGTTATGTATGAAACAGACAGATGCAGAGACAAACAGGAAGTTGACATCAGATTTCAACAAAATTGTATCCCACCGTATGGCATACCTCAGAGAAGACTGTGTTAAAGTTTCAAGCATCTGCCATCAGTAGTTGCTGAGAAAACTGCGACGTATATTTGTAATGTATGAAACGGACAGACGCACAGACAAACAGGAAGTTGACATCGGATTTAAACAAAAATGTGTCCCATCATATGGCATACCTCAGGGAAGATTGTGTTAAAATTTCAAGCATCTGCGATTAGTGTTGCTGAGAAAACTGCAACGAAAATTTGTTATGTATGAAATGGACAGACGCACAGACAAACAGGAAGTTGACATTAGATTAAAAAAAAATGTATCCCATCGTATGGTATACCTCAGAGAAGATTGTGTTAAAATTTCAAGCATCTGCCATCAGTAGTTGCTGAGAAAACTGCATCGAAAATTTGTTATGTATGAAACGGACAGACGCACAGACAAACAGGAAGTTGACGTCGGATTTAAACAAAAATGTATCCCACCATATGGCATACCTCAGAGAAGATTGTGTTAAAATTTCAAGCATCTGCGATCAGTAGTTGCTCAGAAAACTGCGACAAAAATTTGTTATGTATGAAACGGACAGACGAACAAACATACAGGAAGTTGACATCTGATTTGAACAAAATTGTATCCCACCTTATGGCATACCTCAGAGAAGATTGTGTTAAAATTTCAAGCATCTGCGATCAGTAGTTGCTGAGAAAACTGTGACAAAAATTTGTTTAGGACAGACACACGGACAGCTAGACAGACGGTCAAACAGAGACACAATGGTAAAACAGTATACCCCCCTCTCCTTCGGAGCGTGGGTTTTATAAAAAGTCTGTATCTCTCACTGTTCAAAAGTATTGGCGAAGGTTAAAGTTGACAAAAGACAAACAGCTAGACAGATGGACAGACATGAAGCCTATAACAATACGTCCCGTCTTAAGAAGGGCGTAAAAAAATCCATGTGACTACGGGTTCATCTAGCTGTGAGGCATGTCCAATACATATTCTCTAGAAATCCAAAAGAAGTTATATATATGCCTTGTCGGCGACTGTAAAAGTTACCTGAGATTCCTACACAAAGGAAAGCCCGAAATCTCTGCATAGAAACTGTTGCGGCTGCAGAGCTTCACTCATTGTTCATTCGCCATAGAATAGAATCCGACATTTAACACTAAATATCTTAGAATAAACAGACGTTTTTCAAGATTAGCTACATATTTGTTTCTAGAAATATGTTTATCTACAAAAATAATATATTTTCGTGTTTTGAAACTGAGAAAATCAATGACCTAGCATCGTTTTAGATAAGCTCCACTATTGTTATAAACCACTGATTGATAAGAACAGGGATTTTCCACTGCCCCGTGTAGGGCCGAATTTCGGCCCCATTCCCAATTGCAAAAACCTACCTTTTTTCCCAAAATTTTACCTTATTTTTCCCCTAAAATTATTTGCGTTTAAAATTCGGTCGGGATCGGATTCCTTACAAATATACGGGATCGGAATTCAAAAAAAGCGGAAATCAAATGGCTATGCAGAAACGTGACATGTGAGAAATGAGCCACAATTTGAAATATTACAAAAAGACCTTGACAAAATGTAAAGGCAATAGGAGACTAACGGAGTTGTTTAAAAATAAGTTACAAAGTAAAGAATATCGTCAGGTGTTTCAAGCAATATGACAGTCTAGTATATCCATGAAAATAAAAATGGCGTCATTCCAAATTTCCTTGAAAACGAAATGAAATCTTACTTAGTTAAATTTGCTGTGCACAACCCGATTGAAATAGGCTTACTAATTCTTCATTAGATCATTTAATGAGAATTTGCAGTTCTTGCACAAATGATGATGAATTAATATGATTAAACCAGGAAATCTTGAACCGAGCAATCACACTTTTTATAACACAAAAGAATAGAATGGTTAGATTTTAAGATTTTGTTTTGACAATAAACTTCATTCTGACTCACTAACTGTTAAATATTTATTGAAATATAGTCTTACATTAGATATCAGAATTTCCCAATTTTTGATAAAACATCGTAAAATTCCCAATTGCAAGGGCCCGGGCCCCATTCCCAAACTGGTGTGGAAAATCCCTGAAGAACAAAAATTGAAAATGAAACAGTTTCAATATCCTGAAGAATTGAAAAAAGAATTATACATGTATTAAGGTTCATAAACCCTCTGCTCGCTCATATAAAATGTTGCTTGAACCTTTAGTTAATGATTTTCCAAAAGAAATGTATTTTATAAGTATAATACTGACAAGTATTTTTTTGTACAAGTACAATTTTGCGGGGCAAAATTGGACAAAAAAGACACTTCAACTTGGCAAATCTATAAAGGAATAATAGACATTTATGTCATAAAGAGTTATCTCTTTTATCACAGTATCAATGTACCTTAAAAAATGACTAAAAAAATTTTTGGGTCGGGTGCATTTTAAGTGCCTCCATATCAATATGACTTATCATGACTTTTCTGTTCTTAAGAAAAAGATATATTTTCCTATATATTCCTATGTAAAACTTTGATCCACCCTACACCTCGGAATCATGAATTGAATGACACTTAAATCAACGCCTGTGTGAAGAGAAAATTCGGTCTACTGCACATTCATTCAATAGAATTTTTTGACGCAGTAATTTGGACCCACAATGCACCACTTGTTTTAGCTACGTTCTCACGAGAATAACGACAAATATTCAACAAAAGGTTTACTTGCCTTGATTTATTTGATACACATTGAAGATAAATAGTAAACGAAACTTTCGTCATTAACTTTCAGCACTGTTCAAGTTTTTTTCTTGGTTTTGTAACTTACATACGACATCTAAGACGCACCAAATGTCACGTGCGGTTTGACGATCTAAATTAAGGAGGTTCATTACACCACTTTTTGATGACGTACTACACAAAAAAATAAACCTCCATTGTGTCGACCGGTTTCTCTCTGGGGACGAATTGACTATAGATACCTCTATAATATGACCCTGACCTTTAAAATGCTTTAAAAATAGATGAAACATGCGGTGTTATAAACAGCGAAAACAAAGTAACAGATTCATTATGCATAAACCAAGAAGAATTGCTATTAAGCAGAAACAAAAGAAAACAACAGTCAAATCTTCGCCAAACAAGTAATGTCAATTTCATAGCGATGCATGCAGTGAGCTCTAGAAATCAATGACATATTTGTATGGGGAAAATTCGAGTTAAAATCTACAACCTTGTTGAAATTAAAAAGTTATTTACTTCCACTATTTACTGTGTTGGTGTTGATACATATAAAATTGCTTAATTGATTTAAATGTATACTCTGCCAATTTAAAGTTTTTTTCTGATTTTAGACGTAATGTCAAACGTTCCGTAGTGTTTTGAGTCTTGGGTAATTAGGAAAGATAACTCTTTAAGTGGACTTTTTATACCAAATATTTTTCAAATTGGATTTTTCATTTTGTTTAAACATTCTTCATTCAATTTGACACATGTTATTCATTGAAATACATTCCTTGTCTCTTTTATCACATTTTCTTAATGTTTTATGCATAGATTAAAAAGATAATGACATAAATTGTTTTTTAGGAGAAAATTATTTTTCTAATAAAATTATTATTAGGTATTATGAGGTATTTTCACTCTATGTACTATGTACTTATACTAACTTACTTGACATCTACATTATAAAACAATGTAAAAGGTGCTGTATTGAAATCTAAAATAAACGGTGGATGTAATGAGCCACCTTAAAACAATAGAAGAATTTGCACTCGCTCTAACGGTTGCACCGTCAACATATTACACTCATATTTTTTTTTCAAATAAAAAAAGGGGGGTATTCATCCACACTTCTGGTGCCTGTGGTAACACAACGAGATAAAACTCAAAATCACAATCATGGCAGAGGAAAATCTGAATAGACTAGAATTGAAGACAATAAAACTTAGTTTCAAACGAAAATTATAGATTCAAATAGCACACAGTTTTCATGCAGACTTTGCAAACACATACAGACATAAGTGATATTTCTGCATCCGAGATCAAGCCGAAAGAATTTTTTTTCCAGTTGGCATAAAAACAACACACACATACTCTAACTTAGTTACTACATTACTTACACTGAGAAATCACTGTGGAGACACGAAGAACCTTTGCTTTTCTTTCTTTAGACTAGTGGATCTATGGCAGTTCAGAGTTCTGCGTTGAATATTCGTAGTCGTCCAGCCGACGCTCACAGGAAATAGATAATCCGTGCAATATTAAATGCCAACTCGTACACAAAATATTTCGGATACAATAGTCCGTTACTCAATACATATAAACATTGGCATCTATGGACTGAATAATGGTTAGATGTAATGTTAAATAATATCATTCAGGAAAGTTATAACATGATGACCGAGGAAGATGTAAAAAAAAAAAAAGAAGGTCTAACGTTATTTGTATTTTTTTTCTAAAAATTAAGTCTTCTTGATTATTACAAAAGATTGCTGTTTGTTAAATATTACATAATCTAGTATTTCATGTATGATAAGCAGTTGTTAGATATCACTAATTCTTAGTGAAAAACATCAATACCTTATGTGCAGGTGTGCGCTATAACACGAAAGAAAAAATGTAATCTTAATCCAGGAAGATATCGATATACTAATGGCTCATATAGAAAGAAAAGGTGTGATATGTGAAGTTCATTTAATTTTGAGTAAAAAAAGTATTAAATTTCCCCACAGCAATGCATTATTTAAATTCACTTGATCAGTGTTTAAAAGAGGAAAAACAGAGGCGTAGCAACAGGGGGCCAGGGGGGGGGGGTGTAGTATGCATTATTGGTGATAGTAGTCACTGACAAAAAGTTTACCTATCCCGATATAGGATTTTGGGGCAACTTTTTTCCTTTCTTTCTTTCTTTTCTTTCCCCACTTTCAAAAACGATGCTACGCGCCTGAAAAATAAATAAATATATAATAAATTTCTTCTCACAAAAGTATGAAAGTTCACTGTCTGATATACACATGTAAATAATATTTACTGTCTATTTTTTCCTTCGGGGCCTCAGTTCCATTACTTTTAAGGAATAGAGCGCTACTCGTACATTAACCCTTACATAATAGACAGAAATGTATATAAGGCGTAAGTCCTGAAGAAAAAAAATGTTTTTGTTCTTTTGTGGGACGTTATAACTCTCTCTCTCTCTCTCTCTCTCTCTCTCTCTCTCTCTCTCTCTCTCTCTCTCTCTCTCATATACAATACCACTATATTAAAATCAGAACGCTTGAAATTATCATAAGCCTGAAGGAGTGACTTTTTCAGTAACGAAAGTGCTTGTAATACATCAGTGTACATGTATTAAACAGGTATGGATAATGAACAATAATAATGAATTAAACAATTCAAATAATGTGCAGCGCAAACACGGATCTGAGTGCAAAGTAAACCTGTGTATTTTAAATGACATATATATCTAAGAAAGATACAGAGGGACTTCTCCCTCGACCAGCTGTTTAGAGAACAATAAACTACATCATCTCATTAAATACATATCTGAATGTTTTTTTTACATGTATGTACCTACATGTACCTTCTGAGAATTTTTATTATAAATCGGGAGAACTCTATCAATTGTTTGGATTAGTCATATTTTTACTGGGAATGCATATATCAACATTCCGGAAACGTATTTAATTTTTTTAGCAGACACTTTGTGAACTTTATTTTTTATCCCAAAAAATATTCAAAGACAAAAAAGTTGAAATTTCAACTTTTTGAACATTCGTCCGTTTGCGACCAATGGTATCAACGACAAAAAATAAAGGTCGATCTTCAAATCTACATTAAATATTTGAACTGCATTCATGT